CCGTGGTCGCCAGACCAGCTGGAGAAAGCAGGAAGCACAAGACAGGAAGGCCCGCGGCCCCGTTGCACATTACGCAAACAAATTAAATCACACATTCACACTACCCGGGTTCGTGGGTGGGTTGCAAGTTGTCGGGTACGTGGACCCTTCAAAGAGGGGGGAAAGCATTCGTATGTAAGTGGGTCACACGTCGCGGCCCTCAGGCCGGCTGGGGGGGGGGTACCCACTATCGAACTATGTAGTGGGTGGTCGCTGACGCCGCTGCCGCCGGCTGCGAGGCGGCGCGTCTGTCGCCCGGTCCTTCCCCGTCGACCGCGTCGGAGGCGCTGCGGCCGGCCTCCGAGGGTTGGGTGGCTCCGCGGTCGGAGCGTCCGTTGTGCCGTGGTTGTTGTTGTTGTTGTTGTTGTTGTTGTTGTTGTAGTTGTTGTTGTTGTAGTTGTTGTTGTTGTTGTTGTTGTTGTTGTTGTTGTTGTTGTTGTTGTTGTTGTTGTTGTTGTTGTTGTTGTAGTTGCTGTTGTTGTAGTTGCTGTTGTTGTAGTTGCTGCTGTTGTTGTTGTTGCGGTTGTCTGCCTTTGTCGCTTCATTCTGCGCCCGTCTCCGCGGCGGGGCGGTCGGTTGCGCTGCGCCCGCTGACCTCTGGCGGCTGTGGCCCAGGTGTTGGTGTTGCGTTCGGTAGGAAAAATGGAGTGCGTCTGGATGTCCGTGGCGGTTTCACCGTCCTTGCCGTAGCGACACGTCATGGTGGCTTCGTGGCTGCGCTTCTGGAAGGCGATGGATAGGCGTTGGAGGGCGTAGGCGTAGTAGCTGGGTGTTGCGTGGTTGTGTACATGTACTGGGAGGTCGGCGTTGTAGATGACGCGTTTGATGAAGCGAACGAAGAACTCGCCCAGGCGACCCGTGCCGTTTTCGATGGCCAGGGGAAGAAGGTCCTGTCGTTCTGCCTCATGAGCTTGTCGTACTTCTTCTTCTTGGTGGTCTCAGCGCACTCCGCGTTCCAGCCGCCCGTTGAGGATGCCTTGGCGAGCCGGCTCGTCTGGGCGACGTCGGTCATAGTGAGGTCGGTCGCGACGACGGTGCAGTCGATGTCCAGGTGTTGTTGTCCGCCGTCCACGTAGCCTCCCGTCTCGCATACGGCCAAGAGGCCGCTGCTGCGGAGAAAGGCGGCGATGTCGCCGTTGAGATGATCGTGCCATTTCTGGCGGATAGATTGGCAGCTTTCCTGGTGGAACGCGCTCTCCGTCGGCTTGTGGCATGCCCTGCACAAGGCGCGAGGGTGGTACCCAGCCGCTGGAACTCGGATACGAGCGCTGAGGGATGTTCTGAATTGTGCATCGTTGAGGGTGAGTTCTGGGCAGCTGGGCATCACGGTGAGCCAGTGGAAGGAGCCGGGGCCGCCCGCGCTGAGCTGGAAGGCGCGGACGGTGCGTTTGTGGCTGTAAGGGGTGCGTTCATCCAGGATCCTGGTCAGGGTGCGCTGGAGCTTTCTCCCGGCTTTGAGGACCTCGTCAATCGTGGTGACGCCGCCCTGTTCCTTGTCGCGTGTCGTGCACGCGAGCCGCGTCAGTGCCGTCGACATCTCGGTCCTGAGCGCGTTGCTGGGGAGGCCGCGCTCAAAGGGGTGCCGCGTGCTGTTGAAGAAGTCACGTATGGCGCCGAGGAAGGCGGCGGGGGCAGCCGACTCCTGGGACCGGAGGGCGAGCCCGCCACGTTGATAGGGCCGCAGGCAGCGTTGAAGCGACTCATCCTTAAGCGGGTTCGTGTGCCCCAACATCCTGGCCAGGGACAGGGCGATGAGCTCGTCGAGCTTGCGGCACGCCTGCATGCAGTGCGCGGTGGTGCGCATCGTGTAGTTCTCCTTGGCCACTACACAGTACCTCAAGAGGACGAGGATGCACTGCAGGGGTAGGTGGCGGAAGGCCTTGTTAGTGGTGGCTGCAGCGCGGTCGACCCTGTCAACGGGGGCGGCGCTGAAGAGGGAGGAGGGGGGGCTCCCGAGGACGGAGGCGGGCGTCGTCACGCAGAACGGCGTGTACCTCTGTGTGTGTGTGTGTGTGTGTGTGTGTGTGTGTGTGTGTGTGTGTGTGTGTGTGTGTGTGTGTGTGTGTGTGTGTGTGTGTGTGTGTGTGTGTGTGTGTGTGTGTGTGTGTGTGTGTGTGTGTGAAAACACGATACAGTGGCAGTTAAGTCCGCAGCAGTGTGTGTGTGTGGAGACTCACTGTTGCGTGCGCTGCATTGGCTGGATGAGGCGATCCGGCCCAATTGCTCATCCTGACACGACGGTGAAGGTGAGGAGGAAGGTGACAAGACGAAGGTCTACTCGGGCTAGTAATGCCGCGCAAGCGCGTTCACAAGCCGCGGATGACCGCCAACGCGTGTACTGGTGATGCATGCCTGGCTCAGCAGCTGTCGGGAGTTGTCACACACACACAAGGAAGAAGCAAGAGCAGCGCTTGCATGAGGTGGAAGCAAGACCAGCGCTCGCATGAGGTGGGAGCAAGAGCAGCGCTCGCATGAGGTGGAAGCAGCAGCAGCGCTCGCATGAGGTGAGAGCAAGCCCTTTCAACACAAAGGTAGCAAACGCAGTGAGTGAAGACAGTACAGCGACGCAGTACACGTGCAGCAGTGGAATCAGCCTCACGTACCCGTTTGCATGCAAGACAGAATAAAGGGTGCGACTGGAATCGATGGCAAGCCCTGAAACAAAACCCGCGGAAAGGAAAGAGATTGTGTGTGTGTGTGTGTGTATGAGGGGGGGGGGGGGTGAGCAGTGGCTGTAACCACAAAAGTGCAGCAGGCAGGGGGAACCCCCAAAAAGGTAGGGACAGAACGGCAGAGACACAAAAGGCAAACAAGACAGGGGAGCCACTTACCCACCCGACAAAGCCACCCGGCCCGCAACAAAAGCCCAGCGACAACACACACAACACGACAACCGTAGCATTAAAAAAAGTTGATGGGGCGATGGCTCTTTGGGCCCCGGGGGGGT